CGGCAGTGGCGGCAGCCCATAAATAATACATATATAGACACTATGATATAAGATATCTATTTACACGCAAATACAATTCAGACGTGTGTGTATTTACACATACATGTACACGCATGCATAAACATCTACTTACAAAAATACATATACACATACACACATGCAGACGGACGGACGGACGGACCAACACGGACACAAACGCACACACACACACAACCACACACACGCGCACGCACACGCTGCGCGCTCACACACACACACACACACCCACACACGCACACACATCTGCATCTCATGTACCTAGATACATAGCTGGATCCAGACCAAACACCTACATACAGCACGCAGTTCGAGACTTGTTGGGTGGCGTGCAACACCGACAAGGCCAAGTGGCAACGCAGCTGCACGCGGCGCCAGAGCGGTCTGAAGTCGGCGCAACGCCGCACCTCCGTGCCTTCTGTTGTGAAGATGATGATTCTTCCTTTGGGCCATCACTTACAGGAATGTTGCCGGGGTCCCAGGATATTGCCAGCAAGCACTCAAGAACGTGGCAAATTCGATATGAATGAACTCCTGCTCCTCGCCCAGAGGCTTCGCACAGCTTCTAACTCCGACCACGCCACACTTCCATCGCGAGGCGCTGCACTCGCGGCCAAGTGTCGGCCTCGAGGCCTGCCAGGGCCTCCTGAGCAGTACCGAGTCCTACTCCGACGTTGCGGGGGGGGATACTGGCTTTGTACAGTGCTATAGTTGCACTCCGAGAGAGAGAGTAATGTGGCGGCCTGTTTTATGGGCCACCTCTGCCTGACCTTGGTTTCGCAAAATAAGAACTTCGGGCTTTGGGCTTGTGGGCAGGGTTTTAGGGAGAGCTTCGGGCTTCAGGGTCAGGGTTTTAGGGTTTGGGGGGGTTGTAGGTTTTACGGTTAAGTGGGGTGTGGGGGGGGTTTAGGGTCAAGGAGGGATGGGCTTCAGGGAAGAAAACCGTGGGTGCGTTAAGATTGACTAATGGAAGAAAGCAAAAGACCAAAGCAAAATCAGGCGGCCCCAAACACACGCATTAAAGACCCCCAATCAAAAAGTTACAACCAACTCTTTGAGCGCCAGATTAATACTGGGCCAGTTCGATAGAGATCTGACTATGAAATGATGCTGTGAAAATAGACTTAAGTCATGATGCCGAGTCGTGGACCACGGATTTAATTCCGAACAAAGCTTTAACGACTTTTCTCAGACATGGGAACAAGATCATGACCAGTCCTCTTCTGCACCTTCAATGTCGAGCTTGATCAGCCTGTTTTCGGTGAGCGATACAGTGTTTCAGGAAGCCGAACAAGTTCGGGAACGTCAGTGCAACGGAACACACATGCACGCAGTCATCGTAGTGGCTACAGTCGCACTGTTCTGTGCAGTTTCTAAAGCCAGTAGCACTTCCAATAGAGGAGTCTGAAATGGTCTCTGAATTCGGCGAGTGTATTAGCACACAGAATCCGATGCACGGACATGCAACAAAATTCGCTGTCCATATATATATATACACACACACATATATCACGTGCATAAACATGCATGCACCTGTATAATCTACAGATATATCGTACGTGCATGCAGACATGTCGTTATTGCGAATTAAGACGTCTTTGCCGAACTCCCCCACGGAAATGCTGCGAACCTCTCCAATGTTGCTAAGGTTGCAAGGCGGGTTGCGAAATGGGCTGATCCTTCAAAGTAGGAAACGCTGTCCTTGGATGCAGAGGTCTCCAAACCCCATATTCAGGTTCCAGCTTCGTTTCGCAGCCACCTTCTTTAGAATACCTCTGAAAGGGAAGAGAGGCAAAAGCCGTAGTCTCCAAGACATCTTCAACGAAGCCTAGCAATTTGCATGCTGGCGCTAGCCTCCCGCAACCCACGTCGAGCACAGTAAGAGCCAAAGTCAACGAGATCAGACCGCGATACCAGGGTTGCAAACACTAGACCAAACTACCTCACCCGCATCCGACTCGATTTGTGGCTGCCGAGACCTTCATTTATCGAAAAATTCTCTTCGACGGAAATCCCAACCATGAAACTGCTGCAAAGAACACCGTACCGTTCACACCGTCAACGCTTTGAAATCTACAGCCTGCGGACGAAGTGTCTCCACAGAGGTCAGGGCACTTGAGAGCCGGGCTGTAAAGATCGGCTCCTCAAATTGCAAACGTCTTTCGAGGGCTTGGCAACAAGAGTTCTGGAAGAATGTAGACGTGATGAGACATAAGGAAGCGCCTCAATATTCTGCAATTCGATCAGTACAGTATCAATGCCATCTTCTCTGAATGCTCCGGATGTTTTGAATGTTGACTCAGGGCCCTCTTGCTATTTGAGTCTCACAGACATGCTGCTAGTGCTACCATTCCACGGTGGTGCTCATTTAACATTTCTCCACTAGCCCTCTCACCGGCCTCTGCAATTAGGTGCCACTCCGAAAAATAGGTTCAAATCTTCGGGCAGCACCTGCCCTGCAGGAAGTCAAAGCCAAGACAAACCAAATAAAGCAGCAGCAGCTGCTACACTGCTTCGACAGATTTCAACCATTGGGTTACAAACTTAAACCTCAAGCCCAAGGCTGCAAAACTTAAGACGGAATATCCTTCAACACAAACCCTCAGCTGGACACAACCAAAACATGACTAGCTTGAACCTCGGTCGCATGACCTCAAACACCACACAGAAGCAGCTGTAGTCATCGTCCTCATCACCACCGTAACTGTAATCCCTGTAATCATCGTCACCATCCAGCCTGCTTTTCGTCAGCGAAGAAGATGTCCACAAGACGGCGGTCGAAGCAACCGTTGCCTTGTCCGACAGTTTCAGTTCACACTTGTTGTTTGGGCTCTGGGGTTCCGGGCGGCCTACGGCTCCGAGTTAATACTACTTCTCAAGTTCATAACCACCACGGACACTCTCTGAAAACCACAGATGCCACCCCTGCCACAACGCTGACGAACTTCAAGAACCTCTTCGACTGTGAATCCTTGAAACTGCCCGTCGCTGTGAAACCATCATGCGCGGATCAGACGCTCTTAGCTTCATCTTTGGCCGGACGATGGCGAGCCAGCGTGGAACTGGAGGTGAGGTATGGGAAATAACCTCAGAAACTCGGAGCAAGCACGAACCGCATGTTGTGCCCACCGATCCCAAATCGCCCCAAACTTTCCAACAATCTATGTGTTGCATCTCTGCGAGATTGCTGGCCCGAGCCCAGGTACAGGCGAGGTGCAAAGTTGGTCCCTGCCATCGCGGTCACTCAGTGCCAGCTGAAAGCAGTGCACAACTGCCGTGCCAGCAGTAACCTCTGGGAAGCTGCGAGAATTTAAATAGTATTTATGGCTGGCTCCTTTTACTGCGTGTTTTATACCAGGCTGCATGGTCTTCAGATGGGTTCATGCATTCTGCTGTTGGACGAGGTGCTCCAGAAGTGCTCCCGGACGAGTTGCTGGGCAGGGACTGGCCGTGGTTTATCCTCGGGCCGGGAACACGTTCGTCCCCACCGGAAAGTTGACTCTTGCACCAGAAGGACCTTGAGCCTCACATACATACGCACATACATACAGACATACATACATGCATGTATCCATCTGTACTACTATGTCTACAGCACTATCAAAGTGTTTGCATACGAGTATGGCGGCTTGCAGGTGGCGACTTTAAAAGGATCTTGCCGAAGCTTGCATTTGGGAGCCTGCGCACACAAGAGCTTGGGGTCACCACGCACTCTCACACACATCAGTCCAGTCACGTACACAGACAAGTCAAGCAATTCATCGGCTGAAGAAAGAGGCACAGCGCCCACACACACACACACACAGCCAAAGTATCACTCAAACGGAGGAGTGATTCACCACCACAGACACAACATAAGGGCTCGTTGTGGTTGGGGAGGGTACCCCTCCCTGCATGATGCTTCTACGGGGTCTGATCAAGCTACGAATTCGACGCATTCAAAGCTGGGGTGACCTGCTCGCCTTTGCGGGAAAAGAACTTGATCCCCAAGCTTCTTGAGCGCCCGCCATGGAACGATGATTTGATGATCACGAATGTTCAGATGACGGCCTAGAGAACTCAGTGCCAAGCGCACACGTCCAAGCGGCCCGCAAGCAACGAAATGGATTTTCTAGTCAAGACCAATTCGTTGAGCTGCCACAGAACAGGATCAAACGCCAATGCGCACACTGCGTTGGGAACCCGCCAACGGCCATCACCCCAGCATGCTCTGCAAGACCCTTCAAGTTTATCGTCGAACTAGTTTAACCGGCCCGAAGTAATAATTACATGAATAAAAAGACATATATATATATATATATATATGTATAACTATCTGTATGCACAAATGCATGCATAAGTACATACGCATGGACGGAGGGATGCATGAATTGCATGTATGTACGTACGTATGCTACGCATGCACATGTTTCACATGTATATGCATGTAGGTATGTAGGTATATATGTAGGTATGTGCGTACGTATGTATGATGAGGTATGTATGCACGTATGTATGGATGTCGCTCTAGTGGCCTTATGCACGCTAATGTTCTCCTGTCCAGGCCTAGGCAAGCATCCCGAGCCCTTCTTCTGCCACGTGGCACGAAGACTCCGTTGCGTCTGAGGTTTGCCAGGGCCAGGTCAAAAGTCTCCTGCAACCGGGCTTAAGACTTCAACGCGGGCTTTTGGGCCTCGGGCAGGGTGAAAATCTGAGACACACGGGCGCGACTACGACTACGACAAACTGCGACCATGCGGAGATCTTCAGTAGGTTGGTGGAGAAGTGTACTGAAAGATCTCGTGGCCTCTCAAGCTTTGAAGCTCCTCAGAGTGCACTCGTGCTGAAAAAGTGTGGGTAAAGGCAGAGCGTCCATCTGGGCTTACCGTGTTCTCAAACTGCAGGGCTCGCTCTCTGCAAATTAAGACGTAACTGTAACCCCAAACCCTATAAGAACAGTAGTTCTGACCCCGCCATGATAGGGTCAGAAACCTTACAACAATAGGTTCCGGCATCCCCGCGTGTTCCTTGATTTCTCAAGCACTGGAGTAGCAGGCGTGATGGATCGGGCCGTCGAGCCCATCAGCAAGCCTAGACGAATAATCTTCTTTGTTCTTGGGCTGCTCATAGATCAAACCACCCCAACCCAGCAAGGCCTTGGCAGGCTCAAAGGCCAGGACTGTCAGTGTCCCAGGTCCTTTCCTGCATTGAGAAGTCACGCAGGTACCGCAACTTCGAATGGTTCTGCTTTCAGGTTGATGGTTTTCCTGGGTGGACCCTTCTAGGAGCGAGTGAAGAGAAAGCTGAAGTGTGCACGCATGCTTCCTCCAGCGTGCGCAGACTGGCGCAGAACTACACAACCTCCGAAGTTGAGTTAAACCCCAATAATCTTCCCGAAGCAGACAACGATCACGCGGCTCTCCAAGTGTAAGGAGCGTCTATGGAACAGAACCCACATCCAATCGCGTTTAAGCCTGTGCAACAGTGTGTCGGTCCGCTGGAAACATGCATCCGAGCTTCCATTGGCGGGCCAGGATCAGGCTAAACCTCTGCATTCTGCAGCTGGCACAGGTTTCCATGTCTGGGTAGCGCTAGTTGTGCTGGGCCAAACGCAAAAACAAAAGGCTCCAGTGCGGGCACGGGATTGATGCAGACACTGTGGCATGCTCAGTGCAGTCAGAAACTAATCAGAAGTTTTGCGAAATGCCACGACTCGTGCGACGGCTCCGGAACACGGTACAGTCATCTATCGACTTTTGCCCAAATCTTTCATGACTTTTGAGTTTATACGGCGAGCGACAGACCCAGGTTCAGGCCGCCATCCACGACAATCGAGTCTGCTGGCAACTTGTTCAGGTCGCCATAGCAGCGCTCGCGGAGGATCTCCCGATAGATAAACTGCACCTCGATTTGGCAGAGTTGGGGCGAGAGAGTCCCCCGGTGTGCCTAAAGTCTCGGAGTCATCTGCTTCATTGGCTGCCTGGCTGTCGAGGGGTCCTTGACTCTCCTGCTCTCACCCCAACAAAGCATCGCTCCGACCTGGATTTTGGATTCTTAGAGCTTGGTTCGAACGATTCAGGCGGCTTTTGCAAACCTGATCCACTGCTATTCTGATATCCAGTATCAAGCCCCTCTGCGCACCTCCCCCGCACTGCGCCCCAGCACGTCCAGGGCGGCATCTGGATCCTGAAAAACTTCCGGGTCGGGTCCGCATTGATGCTGGCTGGCACAATTCGAGATCCCGAAGCCTCCAAGCATCTTCGTCAATCCCAAACCAAATGTCTATAGAGTCACTAGAGCTTAGACATCATGCACATGGGCAGCGATGGATACACAGTGCCTGGCGGAAGTTTAAACTGCATAATTTCTCCGTGAGGGATCAATACGGGATCGTCCGGCAGCCCGCAGAATCTGACATAGCATTTACATGTTGTGGCTTGGCTACGCATGTCATCTCTGCTGTGTGCATTGTCAAACTTGCAGGCGACCCCACCGCCGAGCAATGCGTCCCAGGACTATGGTGGCTGCACAAACGCGGCGCCATGCTCAAAGTAACTCACTTGGGCAGGCAGGGAACCTCCTCCAGAAAGGCATGGATCGGTCGTGCGGGTCGCAGGCATGCGCCACTTTGGGCACATCGGAGCGGAGCTGTCGCGGCCTTGCAAAGTCTCATCGGTGGCTTTGGACAGAAAGTGAAATTTGTAGCCTGCTGGTTCAGAGGAAAGTAGGGAGGTTGCGGTTTGGGCACTCAACCGTGTGCCACTGAAAATTTCAACAATGTCCAAGGAAGTTTTGAAGTCTAGAGAATCGAGTGCTGATTCTTGTAATTTTCCGGACCGAGAAGCCATGGCCATGATCTCCTTCACTGCCGTCTCCGTGCCCGCCTGACTGACATAAAGCCGAGTCATGACCGTATGACGCATGACGGAAAGACACTTCAATTCGGGACCAGGTTGCGAAGGAGCCTCTCAAACCACTGTACATGTTTAGACCTCATATACGTGCCAACATAACGAGATTGCAACGACGTATTTCTCTGCATTAATTTCAGGCGCCTATACGCTCTTCCAGAAGCCGGAGTTGCTCATGCTTGTTCAGGATTTTGCGAGCTTTGCATTCCATTGGCCCAGGGGCCTGGAATCGATTGGGGCCATGTGCCTGGAGACGCCTGGGCCTGGAATCCTTAATTTTAAGAAAGCCGAGTATCTACGGTGGCGATTTTTTTAAATATGCGCATTTTTGATACCTTCCGGCCCGGGCCGCCAAGCCCATTGTAAACAAGCGGATCCCCCTCCACCCCGCCACCTCCACTCCACTGCTCCACCTCTACACTCCACCCTCCACCCGCCACCCTCCACCCCTGCACTCCAAATTGCTAGAACTCTTCCGGCAAATCTTCGACTTGGGGCTTCGCTGCGCCCGGAAACACTTTTGGGTTGCTTGCCTCCTGAAGTCCAGAGTGGAAGGTTGTCCTTTCGAGACTTACTCTTTCCCTGCAGACAGTGAAGTCTGGATGGCGATCGCTCATGGCCAAGCAGACCTGCACCAATCCTTGGGTGCTGCGGCGGAGCAAGACAGAAGCTGGCCTCGGCATCGCCATACCAACACCATTGTGTGGCTATCTTCGCCGCCGCCGGGACTGACAAGGTACTTCGAAGTTGAAGGTGGCGGCCTCGGCTCCGGCTGGGGAGCACACTCAAACTGTGGCCAATGGAAACAGCATACAGCTCCAGGTAACCGGCCCATTGGCCTTGCTGTCTCAACTGCTCGAAACCTTGGACCGATTGCTTGTCATCCGGGCCACATCCGTCCCAGTGGCTCTCGATCTGGTCTTTGTTTTGCGGAAGCCAATCACTTACAGCAGCTCGCACCTGCTGTCCAACAAGCTTCTTCTCAAGGTGCGAAACGCCGCGCGCTACTGCCTCAAAGAGACATTTCCCACCATTGGAGACGTCAACATAGTGTAGCGTTCATAACGCATTCCGCCTGTCGATCGCCGACGAAAGTCTGTTCTGAATGCCACGTGTCCACCGTCTTAGAAAATCGGGGGCTAGGGGTTGCCGCGATGGCGTTGTTGTTGGTATGACACTGAGGAGAGGGAGTCTGGATGCCACGTCTCCGCCGTATTAGCTTGGAATCCTTTCCTGCTGCACTCTCGCATTGGTTGAACGACTTGCGAGTGTCCGCGGTCTGGCTCAGGGGGCTGCTGAGCGAAACGTCCTTTTGTGTGTTCAGCGGGTCCAAAACCCGGAGCTCCATTTACTGTAGGAGTGGCGTTGTAGAGGGCGTAAGAGGGCCTCCTCAATAGGTTGGCCCCAAAACTGTCCAGACTGAGGCCCAGCCGTCGTTCTAGTTCTGTCGGACGGTGCCCTCAAGTGCTTTCCACGCCCCTCACAGTGTCTCCGCGAAGCCCTTGCAATCGAAGAACTGAACCTTAGCTTTCCACTTAACATCGTGCCACCTCGGCTTGTCAGGTGCCTGTGCCGGCGCCGCCTCTGGCTTCTGGTTAGGAAGCAGCCACTCCTTCATGATGCGATCAAAGTCGGCCTCATCAGTGGGCGCCTGCGATGCGTTGCCCGACTGCTTGCCACCATCTTTGCCGTCTCCCTCCTTGTCCTCGCCCCTTTGCACCTGACTGTGCACCGCCTCCATTTGGGCTCGGTCCTTTGCCGCAGAGCTGGCCCCCACAGCTTTTCACAGGAGCAGGAGCAATTGTCAATGAGGGGTCCTTTCCCTGTCCCTTCGGGGGACGCAAGGCAAGAAAGCTCAGCGAAGCCCTGAATCCCCGTTGCACGGCATGACCAGCACGACCATCTGAACCCACACCAGACGCAGTGCCGACTCCTGCCAGTCCAGGCGCCGTCGGGGGCACCTGAGCTTGTGCTTCTTCTTCATCCTCGCCGCGGTGGCCGCAATAGAAACCCTGTCTTCTGGGATAACTTCTGGCTGCAATTTATTTCTTGCTTTCTTGTGGCTGTTTTGCTGGCCGTTTTGCTGGACCAGATTATTGTTTTGACTGTTTGATAGCTTCTTTGTGGCTATTTGTGTCGTTCTTTTGTTTTTGGAGCTTTTTACTAGGTGGTTTAAGCTTTTCCCTAGGAAAAAGCTACATTTCCAGCCCGCGCCCTCCCACGACAGTGGAGCCGATAAAACGCTAGAAAAACACGAATTTCTGAGGCGAGAGGGGAGGAGGGCCAGGTACTCGCCTCCACGGTGGCCGTCGCGGGCTTGTATCTGCTATGCTCACTTGGCGGTACAAGTGCGAAGGAGTACATGTCGATGGATCGTGGGTGCTGGGTTGTGAGTTTTCAGCATGCGCGAGATGAGATATGGAATTCGCTACTGGGGACAAGGATTGGCGAGGCGATCCATCCGGGTCCTGGGGCCGGCGCCGTGGCAAGACGGGTCAAAGAGGAGCCTCTTTGCTTTGGCGCAGAGATGAAGGCGATGAAGAACTTGGTAACTTGGTTGCAAAGTTCATGGGCCAGGTGCCAGTTGCGAAGTGTGCAAAACTGACCGGGAACCGAGGAGCAACCCGCACGGCCATGCCCAAAACCGTCCCAGACAAACCGTATTTTCCCAACCGTGTCGAGGCAGTGCCATCCGAATTCTCCGTCTCTGTATTTCGCGAAACCATCTTGTACTCAGATCTCGTACTCGGAACTCCAGTTAGCTTTTTGGTAGCCTTTGGATTAGCTTTTTGGTAGCTTTTGGGGTAGCTTTTGGAGTAGCTCTTGCTTAACTTTGTTCTGGCTTTGATCGGTTTCCACAGTGACCCCACGGCTAGCTTTTATTTAGCCTTCTCATAGCTTTTGTGATAAAATCTTCTGTCCAGAGCACGGTCGTCTTAGCTTTAATTACAGAAGCTTCTTGTCCAATACGTCTCATTGCCGCCAACTTCGCAAGTACTGCGCACTGGAATCCCACCTGCATCTCGACTTCTTCTCCAACACGGCGGACATTGACACGAACCTCCAGGTGAGGAATCCTACACACATAGCTGACATGGCACACATCGTAACCGAAAGACACAATGTTCACAACTGAACTGAGTCAGCTTGGAAGAGATCTCTGATTTACTCACGTAGAAGCACACTGTTTGTAGGTGTGGTCTTTTCTTCACCTGGTCGGAGCACGGCTCAACCACTGCGCCCACGGCACATTATACCTCCCAGAAGTGTGCGCGTTCTTCACGCACGGAAATGCACTTCTGCGAAGCACTTTGACATCGCAACCCCGAAACATACCGAGGCTCTCCACTCGAATCGCCTCTCCCCGATGCCTCATCCCGGAGCAGTCGCTGCAGCTTCCGAGCCAGCACCACCTGAGCCCTTCACGGTGGGACAAGACAGTTCCCACCAGCAACAATTCTTTTCAAATTTCGATTGAACACTCAACAGGCTCAACAGGCTTCAAGAACAGAGGGTGACAGTGCATGGATTATAAACGAAAGTTGAATGCAGTCCACCCTGCTCGTGTTCTACTAATGCAACGGGCCTGTCCTGTTCTGGAAGCTGCATTGACCCTATGACTGGTTGTCGAATCAGATTTGTTTTGAGAGATTTTCGGTCCCGGCTCAGTGGCGTCCAATACTAGTAACTGAGAAAATTCGCTTGATCATCACATGGCCTAAAGTGCTAAGCTGTACCGGCAGCTCGACAACCGCAGAATAAAATTGGACATGGAGCAACCGAAAGATGATCCAGGTCTGCAGAATCTCCCACATTGAGATCCTGTTGCCGAGGGCAGGGGCAGAGGGACCCATCAGCACTGCATCTTGCATTGAAGTCAAGCTCTCAAAGCTGTGGTACTACCAGTACCTTGCCAGCCGTCGTATCTTCGAGACCTGCCTTGCCTGAAGAGTCCCGGTGCCGCCCTTGCCAGTCCTTCACGCAGGAGGCCCAGAAGGGCTGGTCGTAGGCGAGTGGGAGAACGAGCTGCGGCACCTTCGAGGGCCACGGAGATGTTCATCAGCTCTTGTGATTCAGAAGTGTTGTTGAGTCTACACAGTACAGTTCACCGTGACGAAGCTCCGAACGTTTCTGCGAGAGCTGTCGAATGACGGCTTTGTGCAGTTTCGTTTTTGGGGCGTTGGAGAGCAAGGAATTCAGATCGCACCAGCAATTCTAGATTTCCTTGCGTCTCGTGTTCGCGTTGACAGACCAGTGCGCCGCAATTCTGGATTGGATATTGGTAGCTGCAAAACTTCCAAACTTGGTCTCACCTAGAAAGTCTTGTGGATCCTGCTTTATGCCACGGGCCAGACTTTGGCGGACGCGATTGCAGCGGCCAGGCTCTCGATCTAGCTTCACTTCTATCGGAACCCCACGCAAAGAACATGGCCCGAACTCGGCCTGTGCTCGCAGCGCTGCGAGCACCGTGCCGATGCCACCATGATGGATTGCGACGGCACAGCGTGGGAGGAGCCAACCGTGCCTGACTTGAGCGCTGTTGCACCTACCCACCTTTATTGCCCTGCTCTGCAAAAGCAAACACAAAATGTCACTTGCTGAGCCGAGGCCAAACTCGTTTCTGAACCAATATGGCGTGGGAATCACGAGCTTGCTAGACCTCGAGCCGTTCAAATCAACTACATCCGAAGCAAGCATCTCTGCACTTTGAAAGCCTTTAATGAATCTGCTAGTTAAAAACTGGCGAGGCACGGCACCGCATGCTGGCACCAGAAGATGCTTTCCTCGAGCCTAAAGTGGACAGAAACGCTGGGAGGTCGATTACCTTCACAAAATGAGGGGCTTTTGTCAAACACTTCTCCGTGATCTGACTCTGAAGCCTCCTGCCCATCCCCTATGCAGTACTCTCAAAGAACACAGCAACAGCAACAGCTTGTTATCTCACTAGACCGGCCTGCTCACGAATCCCTGCTATGATCACACCGGACCTCCTACCATCTCAAAAGCTCTTGACTCCGATGCGGCTTCAATCAACCAACGAAGCAATCCATCAACCTACCGAGCTGTCAATCCGTCTAGCTGTCCTTGCATCTATGTGTCCATCTCTCTATTTATCTCAAAAACTAACTATCTACCGGTTTATCTGCGTATATACCTAACAACCTACCCATATGATTACCGATCAACCAATCAATCAACCTACCTATCTACCTACCTAGCTATCAATTTGTCTATCTGTCCTTGCGTCTATGCGTCCATCTCTCTTTCTGCCTGTCTATCCACCGATCCATCTAGCTGCCTATTTATCTACCTATCTACCTCTCTAACTGTCTATCTGACGGTCTAAGTAACTCTCTAACTATCTATCTACGAATCTATGCGTCTATCGATCTATCTATCATCCATTTATCTATCTCTCTGTCTGTCTGCCTGCCTGCCTATCTACAACCCATCAATCAATCAATCAATCTATCTATCTATCTCTGTGTCTGTCGTCTGTCTATCTATCTATGTATCTATCCATCTATCTGTCTTTCTACCTATCCGTCTATCTATCCGTCCATCCATCTGTCTGTCTATCTGTCTGCCTGTCTATCTGCCTGCTTATCTGGCTGTCCGCATGTCTGTCTGTCTATATGTCTGTCGGTCTATCCGTCTATGGGTCGACGTCTATCTGTCCACTTGCCTTAATACTTATCTATCGCATACATCTATCTGGATTGCTTGCTTGGTTAGTTGGGTGCATCGGTTGGTAGGTGGGTTGGCGGGTGATGGGTTGGTCGGTTGATTGGTAGGTTGGTCAATTGAGTGATTGGCTGGTTGACACACACGTCGGTGCTTGGGTCCTGATGGGTGTTCTGGGCCTTATAAAACAATCGGGACAGGTGGCAGCTCTTGCTTGCAGAACGTAGCTGAGCTGGGTGCCATCAGCACGAGAGGTCGTCCCATCCACCTTGGGCAAAGCACCAGCTGAGGGTTGCGATTGCGCTTTTGGACGACCTTTAGCTGTTGTCAGGTGCTTTTCAATAAACATGACATGACAAGGACTGAAGCCTTCCGCTACAGTGACTTTACTCTGGTCCAGGTTTCGATGGTTGCTTTGGCAAGGTGGGTCTCCAACTTCGTTCGCTTCTCCCAGAACCCCAGATCGACGTGTGCCTGCTATTGCGGTGGTCCGGATGCCTCTGGGCTCGACATGGCTTGAGCATCGGCTGCAGGGCGGGGCTACACAGGCTTCAGCTTGGGCGCCGTGGGTCTCGCGCGGTGATCTCGAGCTTAAATACTCGCAATAAGTAGGAATGCTTAAATTCCTTCGAGCTGGACCACAAAATCCGTGACTTCAAGAACGGATCAGTCCAGGCGCTTGCCAGTGTCCAGCAAGATTTTGATCATCTTGTCCACTTCCTGGTTAAGCCGAAGCCACGACCAGAGAAGAAATGCCGACGACTAACAGCTGCGACACTTCGACGCCCATGTAACACACAAACCTGCACAGCTTGACCTTTGGCTGCAGAGCTTCCGGGACCAGACCTTCTGCACCCATGCCTCCGACAGGCAGAGTCTAGAGGACTGCTCTCGGATCGATCTCGGGTTTCGGGTTTCGAGACTTTCGCGTCAAAGAGACCGGAGCAAGGAACAAAGAACAAGTTGAACATGTACAAACTTGCTGGGCAGCGCAGTGCGAGGAGATTGGTGTTAGTAACGTTAGTATCCCTTGCTCTCCTCCGTAACGAACACTTTCCGGCGGAATGGTACCTTAAAGTTGACACAAGCAGGGCCGGGGACTAGATCCGCACGAAGCTGTTACTGCGAACAAACCACCGGAGAAGATGCCCCAAAATGGGTGTTTTGTTTTTCAGATGTATAACTGTATGTTGCCCTACCACGGAGCATAGCAGGAGTCATCTTCTCCTCCGAAACCCTCCAGTAGCTGCCATTGACTTCAGCTTATTGCAGAATTCATCACACTGGAGGCTTCCTTTGCGATTTGAGGGCAACATGGAGCCAAATTTTCGAACGAAATAGCTCGTAGCCCGAACCCCTTACATACATGCAGCATACATGAAAACCCACTTGCCCACTCCACCAACCGAAAGAAGCTGAAAATCGGAGATGGGATTGCAGAAGCGATAGATGCCGCTCAAAAGTGACTTTACAACACATGCGGCAATGGTTGCAGGAATGGGAAACAGCCCGAACAAACAAAGCATGGAGGCCATGTGATGTCAGTGGAGTCCATCAAGAACGTTTCCTTGCAGCCAACCTACTGCCAAAGCCGACATAGAAGGGGCGCCCCTTCAGAATGCCCTTCTGCACCTGCTCCTGATTTCAGAACGATAAAGTAAGGGGGTTTAGGGCGGCGGATTTTACCTCCTGCCAAGAACCTGACCCAGCTCGAAGGCTTCGCACCCGAAAGGCATCGTCAAGGTTTCCAGGTCAAAGCCTGAAGCCGACATAACAGCGCTGCTCCTCGCAGTTCTGCAGGAAGGCGCTAAGCTCCTGGTACTCCCGTGAGCCTGTGTTTCAACGAGGGCTTAACGAGGGCATGGCAATGTTGCCCAAGACTTGTAGAAGTTGGGTTTGGAAGACAGCTAATTTGAACAAATGTAACACTCCCAAATGACAACCCGTTCGAAGCGCATCGACACACAATTCAGACGTTTGGTAAGCCAACACCCTATCCGTCTCGGTTGTCCCACCCAGAGGGACGTGAATGGAAGTAGAGGCCTGTAATCCCTTCCCCTAATATTGAACGGCCCCCCCTCACCCCAAAAAACACTCGGAAAGTATCGGCACTATGAGGGGATATGAGGGGTATCTTTATCCCTGCTGTCACTTTCGAGAGATCTTGCTCCTGCTCCTGCTCCTGCTCCTGCTCCTGCTCCTGCTCTGGCTCTTGCTCATGCTCCTGCTGCATCTCTTGCTCTCGCTCCTGCGCTCCTGCTATTGCTCTTACTCTTACTCTTGCTCTTGCTTTTCTCGTTGGCTTTTATTCCTGTTGTTGCCGTTGCTCTTGCGCCTGCTCTCGCTCTCACTCTTGCTCTTGCTCCGGACCCCCTGATGAAAATTAGGTTTTAAAGGGCAGGGATGATTTCGCGAGGATTGGCCCCAAAGTGTTTTCATTAGGGAGGTGTTTAATAAATGGGGGAAGGGATCCACCAAGACATCTTTGACCCCAAGTTTTCGATTCGATAGCCACCACCTGCCATCCAGTAAGAGACGCTGGACTCTCGGCTGAGGTGAGCCCAAAGGTGCGGGACATCTAACGCGCCATCTGAAACCTCTTGAGTCCCTGGGAGGACCTGGTGCGTAAGGTATCTCGAGCCTGTGAAGTCGTGTTTCGTCGACCCTTTGCTGTCCAGTGCCACGGGACATCTTTGGCTCGCGCTGACGTCCAGGCTTGGAGACCAGTGGCCACATATCCTGGCAGCCAAGGTGAGGGCATTCGTTCGCAGAATTTGGGCTCGAGTTACAAAAAAAGCCCCCCGTCAGTCTTGAACTGTGCAGAGTCGAGCGCACCAGTGCGAAACCCTGAGTGACTCACATATGCGGATGCCAAATAGCTTCGCATCTGTCGGAAGTGCACGGCCAGGATCTGCAGCCGAAAGCCTAGAAGAGGTGCTGCCACGCGATGAACAAATCACTGATACATTCCTTTGATTGTCATTGCTGCGAAGACGAGCTGCACAGCAACGAGAGCATTGCTTTTCCAATACCTGAGTCAACATCCTTGGAACAGACCAATTATCAATAAGAACTTCTCACTTCGCACCAGGCTAGCTGGCGCTAGTGGAAAAAACAGCTGCTGTGTCGTGGCTACGAATTCAGTTCATCTGGGCAGAACCAGAATGAACAAATGCGTTTCAATCACTCGACTAAGCCTGGATGTCGATTATTCCACCATAACCCTATAACTTTAAACATTCTACTGTACGAAAGGGTACTCCATTACCAAGCTATCACGACTTCTATGCCCCCCAAGTGCTTTTGCCTCCGCAGTCGGCTCGAGCGCATCAAGTGCAGGCCAGGAGCAGGGCCGGCGGGACTCCCAGCAGAAATTTCCTGGGCAATGCCCGAGGTCAGAGGCTTCGGAGCGATGGCAACAGGTCCGATCCACTTTGGATGAGGCCATGAAATCCCCTGCTTAAAGGGACCATGCCTTGGCTTGTGTCCAGAGTGTGGCACTTAGAACTTAGGAGCTCAGGCCTAGGTCTTCCAGTCGCCTCCTGTGTCCCGGGCAGGGTCCTATCCTGCTCTTCGATCGACCCAAGCGGCCCCAGGCGAAGTGTCTTCGCGTCGAACTGGTCCCTGTCAGTGCCGACCTGGCTTTGGTATGTGGATGTGCACCTGCATCATCCTGACCGTTCAAAGAGCTGTGCAAGACACAACTCCTGGAACAAGTGGAAGGCTTTGCGCTTTCTGGACGTGCTGTTGGTCTGTCGTTGGTGATTCGTGGATCACGGTCGAGCATATCGCAGCAGCGCCAGAACCCCTCATTTTCAGCTAGCGGGCTGATGCGCCTATTCGCGAAAACTCGTGAAGCCCTGGCTGGAACACTTTAACTTTGACCCCTGCATACCACCCATGTACTCATGGAGCCTTCGTCAGCATCAAGATTCTCTCTCTCTCTCTCTTCCTCTCTCTCGCCCCCATCCCTCCCATTCCTGTGCATTTGAAGGTATGTCCCACATTTGCAGAATATGTTACTGAACTGAACGGCCATGAACAGGATCCCTGCCTCCTCAGCATAGCCTGGCACAGGAGCCAGGCCAAGGAGCTCCTGCTCTGCATTTCGGTGGCTTCTGCTGGATTTGTGCTTGGTTTGTTGGCTGCGAGTTTGCTCTCGTCTTCAGTTTCCGGTTTGCGTCCGAACTAGTTTCTGTGGGTTCTTCATTCTTCATGCCTCCAATCCTAGCATATACTTCCGCTCGACCGAGCTACATCTAGGCAGCTTCAACCTGCTGGCCCTACGACTCGGTCACGACTGAGCCTGCAAGAGACTTCTCGGGTTCTGGCAGTACGCGTTCCAGGTCGTGGGTTTAGAAATTTGGGAGCAGAGCGAGTCAAGGTCCAGGTCCAGGTGCTAAGTGTATCGAAGATGCCAGAAGCACGCCTGCAGTTTTAACAGAGCACCGTGTATTGCAGTGCAGTCTCTTCAATGCAAGACGGCTCTTGGACCTCCACTCCCCATAAGCCCAAACCACAACGCTGGCAGCTAGCATAACCCAGTATAGCACAATTTTCTCACAATTCTGGAGTAAAAACCAAGGCAGGTCAGTTAGTTACCAAAACAAACTTCATGGGTACGCGTAATAGTTTGTGTAGCTAAAGATAAACTAAGGCGCATTCGTTGGCGCAGACCAGGCACATGTAGGCGGCAAACAAACTCCGGCTGGGAAAATCTCGGGGAAGGGGGGAACAAACTAACTCTAAAACGCTGGCTCGACGAGTTTGTTCCGGTGGCCAAAAACAACTTGTGGCCGGGCGAGTCTGTTTCGGAAGCCGAAAACCAAGTCCCACCAGGTGAGTCTGTTCAGCGGCAAACAAACTCTAGCTGTAAAATTTTTTGGGGAGGAACAAACTAACTCTCATTTCTTTGATTTTGGCTAAACGAGTTTGTTCCGGCGGCCAAAAACAAATGGTGGCCGGGGGAGTTTGTTTCGGAGGCCGAAAACAAACTCCTACCGGGTGGGTCTGTTCCGGCGGCGACAAGCAAACTCTGGCTGGGAAAGTTTCGGGGTGGGGGGCACAAAGTAGCTCTGAAACTCAGGACAGACGATTTTGTTTAGGCGGCCAAAAACAAATTGTGGCCGGGCGAGCTTGTTTCGGAGGCCGAAAACAAAGTTCCGCCAGGTGAGTCTATTCGGCGACAAACAAATTATGGCTAGAATTTTTGGGGGAGGAAAAAACTAACTCTAATTTCTTAAATTCTGGCTAAACGAGTTTGTTCCGGGGGCCAAAATCAAGTTGTGGCCGGGGGAGTTTGTTTCGGAGGAAGGCAACAAACTCCTACCAGGTGAATTCGTTCCGGCGGCGACAAACAAACCCTGGCTGGGAAGAACTAACTCTGAGTCTGAGACTCAGGACAGACGACCAGGTGAGCAAACTCCAGCGGTAAAACTTTTGAGGGAGGAACAAACTAACTCTAAAACCCTGGCTCGACGAGCTTGTTCCGGCGGCCAAAAACAAATTGTGGCCGGGCGAG